GCTATGATTCAAGATCGGGCCGGCGAGCAGTGACTCGGAACGCAAGTGAGGAACAAGTGTCCACAGTGAGTAGCCACCGTAGCAAAAACTCTTCCGAACTTGGCTCTTGATCCGAGCAGCTTTTCACGAGCTGTGTGACAGCTTTTGTGGCCAAAGCGGACAGATCCTCATCCTCATCCAGACTTCCAGATACACCAGCTTCGTCCAACAGGTCCTCCAGCAACATTGATCGAGAAAATCATGTACCAGTAGAAGCCGTTGGCCCAAAAGGAGTACAGTACTTATTGGTATGATTTCCAAACAAATGACCCATTCTTCAACAAGTTGTACCAGTACTTTGCAAAATCCACATAATACCGGCAAAGCACATCATAGAAAATGTGTTCATCTGACTTGTTAAGGTGACTTCGCATTTTAAATCAAGACAGTTTGCAATGCCCAGTTTGTCAACACAAACCTTCCACTGAACACGGATACTCACTACCCATGGATGAAAGACCACATGGAACATCTCCAAACACCAAATCTCTTGTTGGGTGGTGCTTGTGCCATTAAGTCTATACGCACGCATGCACTGTGTTCATCTATGTTCTAGGGGTCTAGAAGGTTGTATAAACAGTGTCAAAAACCACCAAAAGAGGACACTCCAATCCAAGAAAAAGGAAAAGGCGTCCACCAAGGGTTTTCTGGGATATCCTATAGACATGAGAGAATCTATTGGAATATCAGGGCATCAATATTGGATTTGGTAAGCATTCGCAAAGGGAAACCCCACGAAGACCCCTTAGTAATAGCAACCATACTGAAACATACTAAAACTAAAACCCTGTGGTAAGACAGGGCACTGCAATCTCTCCTGCAAGAGTCGTGCCCACCTGGGAAGCTTTTCGTCGCAGTGCTCGTCCGCGTACGCCAGAAAGGATGCGCCTGTCTTCGATCAGCTAGGAGATTCCAGGAAGATCAGGAAGTATGGATTTAAGCAGTATTGACGGATCAGTATTGAAAGAGAACTAGTCTCATATCGTTGCAAGTTTGGCTTTCAAACTAAGGGCTCCCGAAAACCTCGGCACACTCTCAGTCAGTGGCCTAAGAAGTTGTTGCTGAGAACTCCCATCTGAGTACCAACCGCTGGAGTTGGATGCGAAGTGTGACAAAACCACTTCAAGCATATGTGAAAATGCGAAAATATATGTTCAAGCAGTCTATCATTACAGTAATATATATATATTACAAATCCATGATCACTCGAAGCCCAAACAATTGCACATCCTTGCAGTTCTCTCTGACTCGGTCAGGGTACCGAGCATGTCCAAACGTTCGGCATCTTCCTCGATCCATGGTCGCAGCTCCACGCAGGCACGGAAGGCTTTGGCGATGGAAGTGCTATCAGCTTCCACCAGTTCCAAGCCTCCAGAAAAGGCCAAGAGCATACTGTCCATCCAGGGAACTGGTTCAAGAAAAGGATCCAGGGACCGGCAAGGACCCACGGGTGTTCGATAGTTTTTCGTCTATTTCTCTGTTCACAAATGGGTTCGGATAGTGCCCCATGCTTGAGCGGCCAAATTTTGATCTCCAAGCCACGAGCTCCTGAAGCCATTGCAGCCTTTTCCAGTGCCTCAAAGACGCAAAAATACATGGGATGGGATGGATCAAGGACAACCCTGAGGAATGAGATGTTCCTCAGCTAGCCACAAGACAAAGTAACAGGAAGGAGGAGGAACCCAAGGATCTGGAAGTCCATGTTTCTCCATGTTCCCTTCAAAGAGGTCACAAGAGGTGTTCAAGAGGGATGTCCTGCATTCCCGCAAGCGGGAACTTGGTCCAGCAGGGGGAATTGAACACTTCGGAAGGCACTGCCCAACGAAGACCTTTCAATAGTGTGGTGATATGACTTTGGAAGGTCAAAGTCAAGTGTCTTGTTTGTTCTTGTTCAATATTTGCATGGCCGTGTCAACAAATCTTGATCTTTGCCATTTCTCAGGGCCAGAGGTCTCAGGCTGCTGGATCTGCACGCTTCACCGTAGCAAGATCTCACATGGCCAATGCGGTAAAACTTCTAGTGCACTACTATGCCTCTGAATCAGGTCTCTAGGGACCACCTCTTATGAAAGTGTGTCACTGCGCAAGGTAGTCATCAAGCTCGTCAAGTCAGTAGACGTTCTACATCTTTTTACCCGATAAAAAGGAATGCTGTTTAACCCAACAGAAACGCTACTAGGGGCTCCTGGCCTTATTACTAGGAGCAAGGACGCTAATAGGGGCTCCTGGCCGTACTACTAGTAACAAGAAGCTATTAAAAAGCTCAACAACAGAAACGCTTTTTCGCCCAGTCCGACTTGCCGTTCACCAAGGCGCTGCTCTGTCCGCCTTGCGGAGTGCCACGCTTCGCCCCTTCGCACTCGTCTTGGACGGCGCAGACGGCGCCTAGGGATGTTGATCTGGGTCGATTTGGTGAGGGAAAGGATGGGTCCTACGAGTCCTATGTGGGTCCCATGTTTGAATAGGTTGCTTGGTCTGTTCATGCACGACCCTTCTTTGATGTTCCAACGACCCTTTTTCACCTGCACCTAAAACGACAACGATGATACAAGGCGTTTTTGGGAGGGGACAGTCTGCCCATGTCCGTCCAAAAGCCAAAATTTAGAGAGTCTCCTATCTGCTTTGACATAGATGAGCAGCATGTTTCGGAGCATAGCACTTTTGGGATGTGAAGAGGTTTACAGTCCAAAACAAAAAACAAGGTCAATCCTAGACTTCCTTCAACAAAAAAAATACACTGCCTCTTTGTCATCAACAGATAGCTTCTCATTATCTCTTGAAGACTAAGGTGACTAAAGCTCTCGGACCCTCTGTGGCTCTTTGGTGGTGCAAGCGTTCCGGCTTGATGCCAGCCCAGGGTAGAAGGGTAGAAAAAACAGAATTCTGGAGAGGACGCTGGAGTCTAATTACATGTAATATAATGTAATATTCTTGGGGTATGCTGTAACACAAGAATTTGATTCATCACCATCACAAACATATGTGCATTCGAGCCATGAGCAAGTCAATGCAAAAACCTAGACCATACCAGAAAAGACAGGGTTCCAGCTCAGGCTTGAAAAGGGACTGCAAAAAACGAGTAATTGCAAGCTAGGTACAGGCGTGGTTTCAGGCCAGCTTTCCTCGACCAAGTCTGGTTCCTCACACAGTTGGGCAACCTTGCCACTGAGCCGTTTTGCGTAACCACCGGTGGCTGCAGCGCTTTCAGCTTTGGCCTTCAGAGCAAGAAGGAACTTCAGCCCCCGTCTTTGTCTGACGAAACTGCTTGAAGTCCACTGGTCCCTGGCCTATGAACGTTCCTTGCCACACCAGGGAAACATATGCCTTGCGGCAGATTGTCTCCCCGGTGCACGACAAGAATCAACAATTAAGACATTCAGGAGGCTGAATCTACCCCATGTTCCCTCTCATGTCCAATGAACCAACCCACTGAGTGCGCCAGGCCACAAAGCGCTTGCAAAGAGCTAAAGTCCTTTGATGCAGTTGGTCAAATGCAGCACTGAATGCATAAAGCTTGTTTCTTGGTCCAACAACATGCGGGCTCAGGTTTTCCAATCTCCTCCTTGAAAAATTTGTGGAAGTTTGACGGAACACACAATCTCGCCAAACACAGGAGTGTTTTTGCACTCGCTATCTTTTGCACATCACGAAATTGTGACGACTCCCTGATGGGAAAGTAGAACATGTATATTGGATTACTGCAAATCTTCTCTCTGGGGCCAAACAAGGCAAAATTAGCCCTCATCCAGCTCAAGATACCGGTTATCTATGGTTATCTACCCCAATCACCCAAGCTCCTATTCTCTACTAGTATGGCTTAAAAACATCGTGGACCATCTAGGCCATCTCCTCGAAACCCAACTTCTAGCTCAAATGAGGGAGAGCGTGCAGCAGTGCGGAAGACCATGGGTTTTGTCGTGCCAAACTTCGGCCGAGGAAATCCTGCAAGACTGCCACAATCGACACAGCGAGTCCTCTCCACAGCTTCGCAACTCTGCTGACAAGCCTCTCCTTCTCGTCCCCGAGCTCAGCGTCGGCAAGGAAGGGCGCCAACAGCTCCGCTGTCTCGGAGACTGTGGAGGCATCTGCCAAAGACTCGGCCAAGAAGCTTCCTGGAGCGCTGGAGAAGTTACGGTAAAGAAGCAGGTGGGAGAAGCATGGAGAAGCAAATGAGTGATCAGTGACCACAGGAAGCCTACAGCAATGCGGATGAAAGCTTCATGTCTCATAAACCAAGAGGCTAAATCAGAAAAGAGCAGTGGTGGTTCGGTGGTTCCTCCAGCCCTGCATGGCCCTGCTAATTATGTTCCCCCTATGAGGCTATTGCAGTAAAGCTTCGGACTGCAGGATCCAAACTGGCCAAAGGCTCTGAGGACAAAAGCCCTGCCACATCCATAGCACTCAGTGCACGGGACCCGTGTTGTGCTCGGAAGGGCCGTGTTGCGCTGCATATGGTTCTCTCCAAAGATCTTCGATCATATTATATACATAATTACTATACTTACTATTTGGTGGAGGCCACCGCTATTGGAAACAAAGAAAAAGAAAAGGAATACTTCTACTTACAGTACTTACATTACATTCACTACACTGCCCAATAATCTCGCACATACAGTACTTTATTGAAGATCTGAGAAGAAAAAACAGCGATGTTGAGATTGAGGTAGATGGTCAGCAGCAGCTTGGGCCATCCGCATGGAAACCAATCCTGGTTTGCCTTTGAGCCTCGCGATGGGGGCATTTTACAATGGCTCATTCTTTGGACTTTCTTGATGTCTGCTACTGCAGCAGTACTCCATACAACAGCCATCTTGGTCCCAACTGAAGCCAAAAGGAATGGCCGGAATGGTCTTGTCGCATGCCGCATGCCAAAGCACCAAAAGCAAGCAAGTGTTGGCTCATATTATATGATGCGGCGCTCTTTTGCAATGTACATCATGGACTTAGATTCCACTCAGAGCTCACTCTACATAAATAAAGATTGGAACCACCTCAACAGGGACAGGGAAGTGTTGAGAAATCAATTTTCAGCTTTCTGCAACAAATTAATACATCTTACTACTAGCTAGCAGCTATCTACTCACTTGAACTTGTTAGCTCTCTCCTCTTTTGGAATTCCCTGTGTCGTCCCCAGAAGCCCTGCAACCACCTTGAGGAGCCGTTGTGTGGCGGCCAATTCGGCCTCCAAGCCCTGCCAAAACCCCAGGCCAAAACGTTGCAAACACGTTGATTCAATCATCTCCGACATGGGGTGCCTCAAGAAATCTGAGGTGGAAAGGTCGCCCAGCATCGCCCTATGTTTTTAATCTGTGACATTCAGATGCATGCTAGGCCGCGCTGCTAGCAATGTCTCGTCCTGTTCTCCCAATGTTTGGACACGATATTGACCACACTGGCCTTGTTCCGAGCTTGTTCTTCCTTCAGCTTTTGCTGGGCGGCCTGCAGCGCCTGCTGCATACTTGAGGCCAGGGGTTGGTGATGGCGGGCTCTAGCAAAGGATAATTCACTCGGTAGCCGATTAAATCCCCCAGCCAATAACTTGCTAAAGCATGCTAAAGCAAAAGTAACTCCAGCTAGCTGAAGCTAGCTTTCGTGATAACGTGGGATGCCCACGCGGACCGTGGCTGATTTACTGGTTAAGTATTGAAGCATGTATCTTTTCATCTACCCCGCAAGCTTCCAATATGCAATCGGACACACGGAATTGCGCATGCAAAAATCTAGGATACATGCAATCGGAGAACCGAATCGACTGCTCTAGTCTGCAGCTCCATCCAGGCCCCTAGAGCGGCATGCAAATGACCAAGCGCAAGCGATGCTGGTACATCATCATTACAGTTCCAGCATACTAATTAGCTCCAGGTTCCAATGCAAATCTCAATCGTGCTGTATAACTCGAGGTGTGCAGCTTTCCAGTCCTCACTGCACCCTCTAAGAGAGTGAATGAACTTGTATTCACCGTCGCTGCACAGCACAAAGCTTCAATGACTTTAATGACCGGAGCGCAAGACCTCTGACATTGCACTCTGAATTGCATTCAATTCCTGTTGATGAAAAATTGAAAAGGTCTGATCGGGTCTGATATTGAGCCTTCAAAATAAGCTGGACTGGTTCAAAGGAAAAGATGACCACGGAAAAGCTTAAAATTAAATCCTATCTATGGAAGCCAGCAGCATTTACCAAGAAGGACCCTGGGTAGTCTGCAATCATTCAGCACATGCAGTCAGCCAAATGCAAGTTTGTGTTTTCACCAGCTAATGCAAAAATACCCTGCCTTTTGGAGGTCCTCTGCGCTTTTCGGTTCCTGTCAAGCGGTAGAGCTGTCTGTTTTCTTAGGTGAATGCTTTGCAGAACATCCAGAAAGCCTAAATCATGGGTGCATACTTTCACCCAAACATCTCTGGTCCTAGCAACAGTCCATGGTACCATATATAATACTCGTATGTCGATGTCGAGGAACGGAGTGCCAACCGAGCTTGTCCGATGTCGAGGGTTGAACACCGGATGTGTGGAAGGTCTTCGACCCGGATCAACCCAGATCCTTCCTGAACACATTAAGCCGTACCAGCCATGCACCATGTACCACCCATTTCACAAGCTAGGAAATGGCAGGTGTTTGTTCCTGCACGCGTGCTCAAGGCGTTTCAAGTGGCCAACAGCTGTGTCACACATCAACTCCACAGTGTGTAAAGCAGTCCGATTGGAATGAAAGGCCCTGAAAATTCAGAGATTTCATTCTTATCTCTCTCAGAATATCTTAGACAATCATCAGCAAATCTCTGTACAGCTACGCCACGCGATGTGATGTCATTTTGTGCCTCAGCCTCATCCGTTCCCACGGGGCTCTGCACCCACCCTGCCACTGATGAAGCCAAACATGCCAAACAAAGCACAACTCGGAAGTATTATCCCATCATTTCTTCGAAAATAGGTGAGCAAATCCCTATCGTTCCTGCGCACAGCATTGGAGAGTACCCGGCACAAAGACGTTTCGAAGTTATATAGTGACCTAGGTGAACATCGAGTAAGAGATTGGTGAAAATGGTCCCGTAGGAGTACGATGCAGCTACTAAAGGTCGTGAGAAGCGACACAATGAAGATCCGTGATGCAGAATCAGGTATGTAACAAGCTGAGTTCAGTCAAAATGACACCCCAGATCAAGGTGCGCTGACAAATCTCCCACAGAGGGCCACCCAAAGGGATATGAACTGTGGGGCAAGGTCCAGTTGGCAGCACAGCTTTTGTGACAAACACCCTTTGTTGGCCGCTCATTATGGAGTCACTGTTCGTGTATTTTCTGCAGCCACACAAAATGCATCATATGAGAGAGTGTTTTTTACGTTCCACGGTGACTAGGCGGTATGCTTCGGAGGTATGCTTTCGCCTAAGTCGAGCATCCCAACTGTACATAAACTGGAGACATTTTTAGACAATACAAACCCAGATGGGCATCCCTTCTCGCTTTTCATCTCTTTTCCAAGCCAGTCCAAGAAACTGTCTGACCACTTTGTCTGAAGCAGCTATGCTTCTCCACTATGAGTCCCATCATGTCCCATCCTCAGTCGTGTGAAAAAACGTCAGGGCCCTTCTGGGCCAAAAGAAAAACGACGACGCGACCAGTCCAAAGCGATCCAAGGGACGAAACACCTCTTTTTCATCGGCTTTTTTCACCGGTTTAACACTTGGAGGCTGGAGTCACCAACGCTCAAGGCATCTTTGAGACCGACCTGGGAAAGTTCATTTCAACGGCCTCTCCACGACTCCACGGCCTCGACGGAGCTCTTTTGTGTACTGCTCGAAGAGCTCTTTGACACCTTGGGTCTTCTCATCTCTGCGCCTGAGGCTGACGAAGCGTATGGAAAAGCTGTTGATGTCCTTCGAGGCATGTGGAAATGCGTTACAGTAAAGGGTTCACTGAAAATTCAGATGCGGCGTGCCATCCCACAAAGAGAAGCTTTGAGTGCGACGTACGTCACAACTCGATTCTCGGTAACCGCACACACCAAACCATATAGCAAGGGACACGTATCCAACACGACCCGCAAAGCAACAGCGTTCCCGGTCACTACCAAGGCATTCCCCATCCACGGAGCCTTCTCCCGGGGATCACTCTCACAACGTGCCCCTGTCATCCCCCGGTCATGCCACCTGGAGCTCTCAAGGAGCTCCGAACGCCAGCTAGCCTCAGGACGTCCCGCCCATCCTACCTGTTCTACCCTATTGGTTTTGAGCTGACAATGTGCCAGCCGGTGGATTGCATACGCAGAGATGCAGGGGGTGCATAAAGGGACCCACGCCCATAGCTATCAATAGCTGTTGGAGGAAACATTGTCATCTGGTTCTTCTGGCAAAAGAAGAGTTCTCTGATGGAAAATAATACTGTATATCTTATATATGTATATATAGTATATTATATATTATCAAATCTATTAAAATCTTGTCAGAATAAACAACCTGTTTCAATCACCATTGCACACAAGAACTATGTAGACAATGACTTACATGAGCTTGAAGCGTGTGTCTGAAGTTTGGAGTCTGATTCTTGAAGAATGATCCTTCTGGTAGGCACCCGCATTCAACATCACAGAACATTTCAGGTTGAACACTGTCTGAAGCAACACAGTCAAGACTTCCTATGTAGAGACTGTAGACAGTATTCATTTCAAAACAAGGGCGTCTCAGGCCATCTCCTAGCGCTTTCCAATCGGCTGCAATGTCTGCAGAGTATCAAGACCAGAGAGAGATAGAAAACACAAAAAGAGATTGCACGCATTGTTTGAGGATTCAATAATAATACTAATGTGTGTAATTATGTGTATATATATACTGTGCATCTAAGTTGGATGTTCCATCTGTACCATCCCCTTGTGTTCAGCAACTTTCCGACACGAACGAGAACCTCAAATGAGCACCTCCCATTGCGGACAGGACTCTTTCTGGATAGCAGAAAGAAGACTTGCTTCACCACCTAGGTCGAGCGAACATTTGAGAAGGTCATCTATTCTAGACTACACAATGCAAGGAAAAACAGGGGTGTACATTCATGGTGCCACCATTGATTCACCATACCCCGGATTTCCTCAACAACTTTCTAGCCACCGAGGTGACCCAGGGCCCTGATGCTCAGTGATGCTTTGTTTATGCGGCAAGGGCCCTCTATATCTGGGATGCGATGGCACTTGCCATTCAGCCTGGTCACAGGTCTCAGTTGCATCGTCAGGCATAGGACCAACCAGCAATCGCCGGTGCGCTCTGTAGCATGTCACAAATGTGGCTTGGGGGATGGTGCAAGTAGAGACCATCGACAGTCGACTGATTTTCCCACTTCTACGTAGCTTCGTGTCCAGGACGTCCATGCAATGCAATGCATGTCACTTGGCTTGGTCTGGTGGTTCCAAATTGATTCCTCGTTCCAATGATATCTTTAGAATTCAGAATGTAAATGGGGGCCAGTTACGGCCACTTCATGTGGGTCATTCAGCAAAAAGGCCAGCCGCCTTGACGGAAAATGCCAGCGGTGATTGCAATTCAAGTCAACCTGAAGCTTTCATGAATCATCTGTTGGAATCGGTTGCTGTCTTCAACGAGCACCGTCCTGTGTCTGTGGCAAAATGTTCAGAAAAAATATATCTATTATGTATACAGTACTTAAGTAGAGCAGTCAAAATGGGTCCACCTCAGAAGGAGAGGACGTTGAATGTCAGAAGCTTTGAAAGGAGCAACATGGAACAGCCAACATCAACCAACCAAATCGATTGCGTCGGAGGCTTCCTATGTTGAGGGAGACCCAAGTATTCCCAACCTCACAGCCATCTTCCACTGCTGCTGGGAGGCGTTCGCATATCAACCAGGTGAGGATCTATGATTCTAGGCGCAGGAATAAATCGCAAAGAGCCTTGATCAAGCGACTCTCAACATCTGCAAAAGTCAAGTCGTTTGTTCCCCACCTGCCAGGTGAGGGTTGTTAGATTTTATGTTAGCTGACTTCTCCTTCTCCTCCTCCTCCTCCTTCTTCTTCTCCTCCTCGCCGGACCTCAACCACGACCATCCACGCCCAGTGTTCCCTGCCGGACCTCAACCACGACCATCCACGCCCAGTGTTCCCTGCCGGACCTCAACCACGACCATCCACGGCCAGTGTTCTCTGCCGGACCGCAACCACGACCATCCACGCCCAGTGTTCCCTGCCGGATGTCTTGGCTCCACACCTTGGATTGGTTAAAGACAAACTGGCAGTGGTCGTGAAAGTGGATTTGCACCATGAAGATCAGAAGCGCCTTGACCGTCGGGAAGCTGGATTCTGTCATTTTTTTCCGGAATACATGGCCAGAGGTATTTGGGTGAAATTACGTAAAGGAAAGAATTCGCCCATGGAAGATGCTCTGTTGCAGACGTGGGAAGAAAAGTTTCAGAATGTGGGCGAACACACAACTGACACAAAGACATTGTTCTTTGTGGAATTGGTGCATGCAGAGTTCAAAATTGATTTGAAGCTAGGCGAGGAAACCGAGAAAATTGAAGTGATTCGCTGGCAATTTCCTCTTTTGCATGGCATGCTGCGCACTGCTTACCGTGCGCAAGGCTTGACTGTGGACCAAGGCGTGCTGGTTGATTTGCGTCGTGCTGGTGGCCTAGAGGATGCTGACTGGTGGCTAGCCATCTATGTCATGCTGACACGTGCCCGCAAACTGAAGAATCTCATCTTGCTGGGGTTCACGGAGCAAGTGGAAGAGCCTTTACGCAGAGGCCCTCCTACCTACTTGCGAGAACTGACTGACAAGTTGGAAGCCAAAGCTGCTTCGACGCTGGAGCGGCTGCAGTCCTGGCCTCTCTATGATGCATTGCAAACATCCTGACACAGTGCTCTGCCAGTGGGACCTAATCGGTTTTCACTGAAGCGGTCTGGTGGAGCAATAGAGAGTTGCAGCTGCACCGATCTGGTGAAGTAAAACTGGCATGGTTGCGCAAACATGTTTGACAGGCGGTGTGCTGACATGTTTGGGCATGTTTAAGCAAATCTGTCGAGAGATCTGGAGATTATTTCGCATGGCCCACTGACATGTTTATAACTTGTTTGACAGACTGACATGCGCAATGACCTGCCAGGTGAAACAAATGATTTGGCTCAGGTGGTCCACTGCCATGTTTGGTCATATTTAAGCAAACCTGTTGAGAGCTCTGGAGTGTACTTCACACGCCCCACTGACATGTGTATATACTGTTTGACAGACTGACATGCACAATGACCTGCCAGGTGAAACAAATGATCGGGATAGTTAGTTACGCAAAAGTCGCGTGACAAAAGCTTCAGACAAAAGTGGAGTCAACAAGCTGTTTTGAAATGTCATGGTGGGGATCACTCGAAGTAAAGTAATTTTTTTAATATGTATAAAGTAAAAATATAATTAATAATATTATGCATAGGATTATTGAATAATGGTGATGTTTCGTAATTAGATTTCTTGGTCCTACCTTGAAAGGCCTTTCGGTACAAGCAAATGCCTTGAGCCTCGCAAAAAGCAAGAAGCTCCTGAAAGTGGGAGTGGTGTTTGATGCGCTTCACCGGCTGCCCCTGAGCGCTGAACAGTGAATGTGCCGCCAAACAAAAAACATACTATGCCAACTTCGACTAATGGGAGATCTGCTCTCTGATGCATCCAAAGAAAGATCCAAAAACCAATGGATTTGACTGCCTTCAGGCCTTCAGAGATTAGATTCAGAATGTATTTGTCAAGCAAAAAACTGTCTTCTGATGCCATGGGAACAATTTGGACCAGTCGACAAATGGGACTAGCTCTTGAGGTTTCGACCAGCTCTTGAGCCCAAATCTCTGCCACCTCCGCCGAGAAGCCTCGGGTGTAGGTCGAATGCCTCTGAAAGACATGCAAATCAACACAAATGTAACCTTTGTAACATTTGACAGGTTTCACATGGTTTCACCATATTTCACCCATCTTCAACCTGCCACTCCCACCTTGCAGAGGCATCTCTGGTGTCTCGTCTTCTGATTCCTGCATCAGTTGGTGTGACTGGCAGCCTTGTTTTCTGCCAAAGTCTCAAACCTCGAAAGCAGCTCAGACATGCTACCGACGGTAGTCAGTGGTAGCCTGCCTTCAAAGTACTAGTAGGACCCCAGAAAGGAGTGTCTGGAGTCTGCATGGTCGGTCGATCAGTCCCGACGGACCGGCTTCAAACCGTCCACCTCGGTGAGGAGCGTCCGCAGCTCGCCGCGGGCCACCTATGGGGATCCGAAGTCAAAACACAAAAAACATGTGAGGTGAGGTAGTTCAAAAAACAAAGTACCGAAAGAAGTGGCCTCGGGGATCCCTGGGGTCTGGCGACCCATTTTGCGAGAAGAACTAGGTGAGCAACTGAGAACACAGCTGGACTCGGGCATGTTTGCTGATACAATGGAGCCGGTTTTAGATGGTTTGGAAGGTTCATGAGCGACACAAACAGACACGCGAAAAGAAATACGCTGGCATGTTCAGAATCCAACTGCATGTTAAGTTGCTTGGGGACCGTCGTTCGTTGCTTCGGGGGAATCAGCGCAGAAGAAGTGTTTTTGACCCTTGCGGACCTCTGAAGAATTGGTTGTTCAGAACTAAGAGAGGGTATAAAACACGTCTTGTTTGTTTTTTTGCGTTGTTAGTGGCAACATACGAGACCCAAAGGACTATTTCATAGGTTTGTTTGTCTCGTGAGTGGTGAGTGAACGGCCATGGTAAAAGCTTTGTAGACGTTGTAAGCCTTTGTAAGTTTGTTTGTAATTCAACAACTCTGTCAACTCTTTGCAAAAGTTGCAAACTTTGTACAAATTCTTAAGACTTTGTGAAAGTTTTGTAAACTTTGTATAACTTTGTAAAAATAAAAGACTTTGTAAACGTTCTGAAAACTGTGTAAAACGTTGCTCTAACTTTGAAGGATAATTTGAAGAACTCCAAAACTTCGTAAAAAGGTTTGTAAACCTTTTTACAAAGTTTGCGAATTTTACAACATCTTAATAAAGTTTTGCCAAGTTCTTACACAGTTTTACAAGTTTAAAGGTTGACAAAGCTTACAAAGTTTGACAAAGTTTAAAAATGTTTTACAAAGTCTACAAAGTGTTGACAAAGTTTACCAAGTTTATACCAAGTTCACTACGTTTTTACAAAGCTTTCAAAGTTGGTACAAAGTTTACAAAGTTTTACACAGATTTTATGAAGTTTGCAAAGTTTTACAACCGTTTACCAAGTTTACAATTTTTTACAAAGTTTACAATATTTTAACACAGTTCACAAAGTTTTGAACAATTTCCAAAGTTTACCCAGTTTACAAAGGTTTTACCATTAAAAAATCAATTAAAGACGTATTGAAAGTTTTACAATGTTGCTGCAATGTTGACAAAGTTTTTACAAAGTTTACACAGTTTTGCAAAGTTTTGAAAGTTTACAAAGCTTGTACAAAGTTTATAAAATCTTTACAAAGATTGCAAATTTTACAATTTTACATGGAGTTTTTTCAAAGTGTACAAACATTTGCAAACTTTACACAGTATTTACATAGTTTACAAAGCTTTCACAAATTTTGCAAAGTTTATACAGTTTACAGTATTGAAAGTTTACAACGATTTTAGAAAGCTTTGGAATTTGACAAAGTTCTTGCAAAGTTCGGAATTTACACAGTTTTTCAATTCTTACAGAGTCTACAAAGTCTCACAAAGTCTTTACAAAGTTTTCAAAGTTTTTACAAAGTTTACAAAGTTGTACAACGTTTTTACAAAGTTTACAACAGCTTTTTCAAGTTTACAAAGTTTTTACAAAGTTTACAAAGTTTTTACAAAGTTTTTACACAGTTTACAAGGTTTTTACAAAGTTTACAAAGTTTTTACAAAGTTTACAAGGTTTTTACAAAGCTTACAAAGTTTTTACAAAGTTTACAAAGTTTTTACACAGTTTACAAGGTTTTTACAAAGTTTTTACAAGTTTACAAAAGGTTTTCAAGTTTGCAAAGTTTTTACAAAGTTTACAAAGTTTTTACAAAGTTTACAAAGTTTTTACAAAGTTTACAAAGTTTTTACAAAGTTTGCAAATGGCTGGTGAAAAACACTTATGTTTACAACAAATGACATGAAAAACACTTCTTTTCAAGCAAAAAATCGTGCAAAAACACTTCTTTCACAGAACTTTACAAAGTTTTACAAAGTTTTTACAACGTTTACATAGTTTACACAGTTTTTACAAAGTTTACAAAGTTTTTACAAAGTTTACAACGTTCTGACAAAGTTTGCGACATTTGCCTTTCGTTACACAAATTTACAAAGTTTTTACAAAGTTTACAAAGTTTTGAAGATTTTGGAAAGTTCACAAAGATTTTGCCAAGTTTACGAAGTTTTGCAAAGTTTACAGAGTTTCGACAAAGTTTACAAAGTTTTGACAACGATTACAAAGTTTTGATAGTTTATTCATTTGCAAAGTTTACAAAGTTTCTTTCTACATTTTACAAAGTTTTTACAAAGTTTGTACAGTTTCACAATTTGTACAAAGTTTTGACAAAATTTACAAAGTGTTCAAAGTTTACAAATTTTTTACAACGTTCACAAGGTCTTTCAAAATGTTTACAATGCTTTGACAAAGTTTACGAAGTTTAAAAACGTTTTACAAAGTTTGCAAAGTGCTACGAAGTTTATAACGGTCTTTTTTAAATAGAGTTTACGAAGGCCTACAACATCTAAAAGTTGTTTACAAAGTTTACAAAATGTTAGTACAAAGTGTACAAAGTTTGCAATGTTTACAAACTTTTTGACAAAGTTCACAAAGTTTTGACAAAGTTTACAAGTTTTCGCAGTTTTTTACACAGTTTTACAAAGTGTACAAAGTTTTTACAAAGGTTTACGAAGTTTAAAGTGTTTCAGTGTTTAAAAAAGTTTACAATCTTAACAACAGTTTACGAAGTTTTGACAAAGTTTGCAAAATTTGTTCAATCTTTACACAGTTGTTGCAGAGTTTTGAAAGTTTACAAAGTTTTAGAATTTCACCAAAGTTTCTACAAAGCTTACACAGCTTTTACAAAGTTTACAAAGTATTTACAAAGTTTACAAAGTTCTTACAAAGTTTACAACGTTTTGCAAAGTTTTCAAAAAATAAAGTTTACAAAGTTTTGAAACAGATTGAAAAAAACGAAACTTTGTAGAAAGTTTGTAAGCATCAAACACTTTTGTAAAAGCTTTGTAAAAACTTTCAAACTCAATAACTTGGTAACAACTTTGTAAAAATCCAAAACTTGTTCAAAGCTTGATAAATGTCCAAAGCTTTGTTCAGATATCTAAAGGTTCAATACTTTGCAAAAACTTCGTAGTTCCAAAGTTTTGTAAAATTCAATGTACTGTAAGTTTCCAAAACTTTGTGAAGTTTGTTATTTCTATCTTTAAACTTTGTAGACTTTGTTAAAACTTTGTAATGCAAAAACTCGGTAAAAAAAAAGTTGTAATTCCAAAACTTTGTCAAATTTTTGTAAAGATCCAAAACTTTGTAAACACTTTGTAGGAAGTTTGTTTGAAGACCTGCGAAAGCTGTTCAAGAAGAGCTGATCTTTGGATCAGTGAGACTGCTTGCATTTTTTGTAAAAAAAAACGGCATTTGGTGCTTGCGCTTTGGGAATTTGTGACTGATGGCTGTAGTGTTTCAGGGTATTGAGGGTGAGAAGAAGGGTCGAATGGTTATTGGTTGTGCAAGTGTTTTAAGACTTGGCCACGGAAACGCCAAAACACTTCTTTCATTTTTTCCAAATAACATTGGTGCAAAACACTTCTTGCGAGCAAAAACACTAAACTCAAGCAACTTAACACAACTGCAACACGGACAAAAATGAAGATATATTCAGAATTGAACTGTTGTGCATGTCCTTTCCTTTCGTGATTCATGTTGCACGGACTTGATCGTTCTAGCGTGTTTTAGTCTTGATTGGCCAAACAAAAAACTATTCAAAACACAAACTTTCTCCAACTTCCTCAACGCTGGAAATGCCTTGCCAGACGCCGTCCATGGCAAGGAGTTTGTGAGAACGACACGAGGCCGCATGCCTCGTGGCACCTGGAGGAATCCACAGAGGTGCACCTCTTAGCCCGACTGGTCGTGGATAGATTCAAAATAGCTCCAAATCAGGCCCCCGGCATGTAAAGACCCTGATGAACTGCGGAACACCGCCACTCATGGGCAAGGAGGTCTCCATTGAATGATACTGTGGTGGCGCTATGGCCTGGTGGATGTTCAATGTGAAATTGCAATATTGGATGATGGCCCGCGACACAAACTTTTTGGGGTATAGTAATGTGTCCTAAACATCAAGGTCATTGAGTCATTTGATAGGCTCTCCGATTCGTGTCAGCAACCATCCGCTTTCCAGCTCTGGGAACATGACGAGACAAACTGCAAACTCGGTCGATTCTCAGAGGAACCATGGGTCAACTATCAGAACTATATCTTTTCATTCAAGGCGTTGAGGGACAAGTCGACCAGCACACGGAGGTGTTCAAAGCGGGAAGGTTACTCGGAAAGCAAGGTACTGTAAGACGTTTATGCTCATTTTTTTCAGGAACTCAGACACTTCCTTAGAGAGCACGAGGTCCATTAATGCCATTGGAGCTATGCGAAAAGCCTCACCTCTTTCTCGGAGAGGTAACGAATCACCGCGCCTCAGGCTGCAAGTCGCCAGAACCAACGTACACGAAGCAAACTATCCAGCGTGCGCTCTAGGCAGGCTCAACATTCACGACAACTCAATGATTTCTGATTATCGCTATAGTTTCAAAGTAGATCAAAGTAGTAGAGTAGTGTATATAGGGCGCAAAGGGAATGTTGGCACATATCATGTCACATATCCAAATATCACACACGGGGGCACATCCCCCTTGAGATAGCCACAGTTTAGAACCAAATTAGGGTCAGCTGCGAGCTCTCTGTACCAAGGAAGTCACATGATTTCATAGGACAGCTGCAGATATATATAACTCTGTGCGTCAGGTTACGGTTGACGCACACAGTGCCTGGGCACCCCTCACGCAGCACAGACGCCACGTTGCTCTCCCTCATCTCTGTCAGCAAGAGATCGGATGGCCTTGGCACTGATTTCCACTGAATTCCTTTTGATATCTAAAGAATCTAAAGTGTCGGTAGCAACCGGAATCGTACTGTCCACACGCTCTTTTCACTGCGAAAGCAAGCACGGTATAGCTCAAGGGCCCTAGGAGCCAAACGGCGGCAGACACAACATAGTGTGACAACCTGGCTCAACAGAATGAGATCCTACCTCAAATTCACACTCAACCTGTTCTACAGGTGTCACACGGCTATACATTGAAACTCTTGTGTCCTCCTAAGGCATTGGAGAAATCTACTTCTGCTTCTGTACAGTGTATTGGCACTCCTTCAGCACTCGAAGTAGCAGATCTGGCTTCATGGACTTCGTCAAACAGTCCGACACCATCGTACTGGTGGCGATCCAGATCAACTTGTCTCCTCCATTCTCGAAAGCAATCCATGTTGGTCTTCCTTCTTGCCACAAATTCTCATGGATTCCTTGTAACTCGATACCAAGGCGCTTGTCACTCACCTTGGCCAGGACTTCCTGATTGAGGTGGTCAGAAAGCGAACGGCAATCAGTCATCGCCAAATGCGGAATGCATTCACGGGCATCATCTTCCCATGTCTTCAAACTGCGAATCTTGCCCTTGATCTCCGCAATCACACCTCTCAGCTTGTCACCTGTCTCGAGTCCGTTCTGGAGGGAATACGTTTCGGCCTGGAGAGTGCTGCGGCAGACTCTCTTAATTGTCGTGGATCCAAAAGACAATGGCATCACCTTATAGGTGGTCGTCTTGTCATCTTTGATCTCCTTGAGATCACCCAGAAAATGGATCCTGCCCTGTTGCGACTTGTAGTTCTTCTCGTTGGAGAAGGAGGCATCTGTGACCGTGATCACACCAACTTCACTCCATTGGAGATGAGCCGCAGGAAAACACAATGCCACATCGTGACCTTTGTGTGCCAGGACAACGACTGCGTTAGCGTCTGCCAACGTGGACACAGTTGCATCTTTAATGCTAGACTGCAAACGGCTTACCCTGTAACCAAGGTCAGGCCTGGTCTGTCTCGAGATCCAGGCGAGCGATCCGGTGATCGATCTGAGCTTCGTGATGTCTCCTTGCTGAAGACGCTCACTGCCTAGCCTAGATCCAACATCTGCTCCATGAATCTTCCTAGTGTTATCTGCTGTGTCGACTTTGATGACCTTGTCATCTCCTCGCACGAACTGCTTCCCACAATATCGAAAGCTGTTAGTGTCTGAGCTGCCGACACTGAACTTGGCAAGAAAAGACTTCATCACTTCCTCGCCTTCCGGAAGAAAACTATAAAGCAAGTCGTCCACGTGAGTGCACATGAGGGCACAAGCATCTCCTCCCTGCTCACCTGGGAGGTAGTACAATCCTGGGAAAAACTGGCTTGCCTTCAGGCCGCTCTTACGTGCATCGGCATCCAAACGCAACCAAAAGCCTCTTCCTGAGTCCGTGATTCCATACACAGGGACCCTCACGAGAAAAAGGACATTGGGTTCTACACCTGGCAAACCTCCTCTTGGCTGACGCATGAGAAGGACGCGATCCAATGGTCGTCCCTGGAAATACGCCGAGGTGATATCAGCTGAATGGATGTCGGCCTGATGACAGGCTGCCCAACTGCAGACGAGACAGTGCATCTCGACATCGGCCGTTGGACTATCTGACCTCAAACCCTCTGTCATTTCAAAGTTCCCGCGCGAAACTAGTCTGCTTTTATACATGGGCTTGTAGTCAGGGTCTCTCCCCTTCTTGTACTCTGCCTTGTCTACATCCACCCATTTGGATGGAATGCATTGGTGCCCTTCGTCAATGAGCTCTTGCGCTTGTTCTGGGGTCAATGCCACTACTGCTCCGAAATCTTCAAATTTGGACCATTCCTTTTGCCTTGTTTCCTGCAGGGCTTTCTGCACTTCTGGAGGCGCAGACTCATAGTGAATGCTCTTTAGAACCTTCTTACCTAGCTCTGCTTCATCCTCAGTCTGGGCAAGAAAACTAGTCCACATGGCATGTGCTTCTTCTCGATCTTGCTCTGGCAGCTCTCCGTCTCTCTGGCGTGCTCTGTCAAAATGTTCTCGAAGAGAAGCTGGCAAGTCGTTCAAATGATCATACACATTAGGCCATGCATGTGGAGCACTCGTGGATTCCCTGCGGGATGGTTGCAATGAGGTACCGCGTTCACTCTCCGGTTCGGCGACACGGGGCCTCACATTGCGGCTATGCTCATTTCCTGCGTCAGGGAACGGACGTGAAACGGAGCTAGCAGACCTACTCAACTCTTCAAGCGCATCTTCACCTTCGGATTGGTCTTCATCAAAGAAATCCGGTCTGATCCCTACATCTAACTCATCATCTTCTGGAACAGGAGGTAGTGAACCAGCATCCGGAAATTGGGGTTCGGTTTCTTGAGATTCGATGTGTATTGGGGATCCGGGTTCGCTCGGATCTGCACGTGCATCAAGAAAAGACTGCTGAACACCTTCCTTGACAACGTTTTCGGGAAAGACAGGCTCACCATGCAAAACAGCATGAGCTAGTGCTTCGGTCGGAGTAGCAATCTTCACATTTTGGTTGGCGACCAACACTGGAACATTTCCACACAACAACCACAAATTCCTTTCACCTTCATGGCCTATCACCCGACTAGTGGGACTCCATGTGGTGCCCCCCTTTTGATTGTCTCGACGAAAGGTCACTAAATCACCTACTGCATACTCCCGAGGAAGACTGGAAGCATTGCGAGTAAGCGCACGGGACACCCTTGATGAACAGTCTAGGTGAACAAATGCTTTCTGGGCTTCCTGCCTGGCCATGTGCTGTAAGGCGAAAATGCTCTCTGGGTTGTGACGGGCTTCAATAGCTCCAAGCTCGGCAAACCGTTCTTCAGACAATGGACTCGGATCCGATCGGGGTCCTTTCCCAAGTACCCATTGACTAGGCGAGAAACCTCCGACTCTACTAGAGTTGTTCTTGGTAGCTACTACCTCGAGCAGTACCTGCTCAACCTGTTCTCTGCCAACAGCGCCTGTCTCTTTGCAAACCTTCCTAAAGAGTGACTTGACGATGCCTCCATGACGTTCTACACGACCAAGATTCTCCGGACTTTCCAGAGGGGTGTGGTACACTTGGATTCCATGTTCATCCATGTACTTCTTCATGACACCTCGGTTGTGCAGACCTCTGTCACATGCAATGTTCACAGGATGGCCACACCATGAGAACCAACGCTTCCTCAGTGCTTTCAGACATTCGGCAGAAGACGGTTGACCGGCACCAAAACGAACAACTTCACATAGCTGAAAAGTAGTACCCAAGCAAACCATGTTCAACACTTGGAACTTGTCACCTGAAATGTCGTGAACTTCAAACACATCAATTCCTACAGTGTGGTTGAACGAGTAGTTGTTAGGCAATGCTGTCTTGTGCGTGGCCTTCTTCTGGGATGTTGCTTCACAAGTTTCGCATCTGTGGATCCTGACAGCATCAATGAATTCCTTTCGAACCTTTGCTGCACGAAGGAGATGGATCATCGTCTGCTTGGGGACGTGTCCAAATTGCCTATGCAATCTTCTCACACCAATCCTCACACGTGCAGGCAACTTGCGCCACATCCGGCGTCGTTCGGCTTCATCTGCTGGCAGGCCTGGGATGTCTACTTCATCGACCAGTGTCTCTTCTGAGACAAGGTCTTCTACTGGGTTCACCTGAGCACGGTCATCATCATCCCAGATAGCATCGAACTGCTGTTCATCGTCCATCACTTCGTCCTGCAGTTCACCAACAAATGCAATAGACATCTCATCATCCAAAGTTGTATCATTGGTCCATTCACCTAACCAATCAACAAACTGCCAAGACAAGACATCATTCATGGTCTGTCCTCGAAACCACGATTCGAAAGCTCAGTCCACTTGGGATCATTGCAGGTGAATGCCAAGTCATGGTCGTTGATATGGGGAATCTGTGGAAATTCATGTTCCTCCCATCTCGGGGTAGTTGCAACGTCAATGTGCAAAAACCGGCTACCACTCATGTCACAATGGGATTCTACTTCACCCAAAATCTTACCATGTCTCAAAGGATCTGTACTCTGTTCATACTCGATGGCAATGACGATGTTCTTGTAGTCTTGCAAAACATCATACCAAATCTTGGAGTCCTCGTCAGGATTGAGGTACTCAGCTCCCACACCGACGTCAAAAACGTCTGCAACACCATCTGCTGCTTGAAGCTCCTGAAAGATGCGGGGATGCGAAGTAATGACCAAGGTTGGAGGCTCAGAAACTGGGACGTCTTTCAAACCAATGCTGGATTTGACCAATGCATCTTGATGGTTCAATCGGTCAATCCCCTCCAAGACTGCCCTCCTATGCTTCTTACCCATGGTGGTTCTCTCATTGGGGTCAATTTGCAAAGGAATGGACAAGACTCCTGAACTACTTGGCTGTGCATTGGGATCTGGAGGGACTTCCGAATCGGTTTCATTGCTATCATCCAAATTGATCTCAACCTGTTCTCTCCTATCGAGGTCCCATGCCATGTGCGCTACTGGCTCGTAACTTGCGGACTCTGTGGATGCGGGACTGGTTGGCGATTGTGGCTCAGACTCTGGACGAACAGTTTGAGAAATAATGGACCCTTCTGGTGTTCTTGTGTCCTCGGAACCTGACGTCCTGGATGATTCCCTAAGTCTCCTAGGCTTTGGGGGTGTAGGCGGCACGAACGAGCGAATCTCGGACCTTGGGGCCAAAACCACTCTCGGCTGCAGCGCCATATAGCCTTGCGAAGCACGGTGAGTGAAACTGATGACGTCGGACCACGGCTCTGAGACATTGGCCATGTCTGCTACAGGCGCTCCATTCTGGATGCGCTCCCAGGTTGCTCCGGGTTCACGTTTTCGAACGTAGACCGACTTGATCCAACCCCATTTTGTCATCCAGCCTGCTTTCGTGACTGCTGAAGTGTAAACTCCACCCCTGATCTTGATGTCAACTCGAACTCCAAACCATTGTTGGTCTTTGGCTGGCAGATTGCGATTCACAAGCCACAAAGTGCGGTCACGGTTTCCCCAATCCCTAGCTGCGCCGGCCAGAACATGGAGAAGTTCAGGATCCACCTGGTCAACCTTCGGCACCCCATCATTGGTCAAAAGGACCCACAACTCATCTTCCAAAACTGGACGTTGATCTTCATCGTACCTGGACTTGGTCAAGAGTTGGGGCGGCGGACGATTTGGTGGTGGTGGATGATCAGGAGTGCGCGGACTCGCAGGCTTCGGCGGAGGTGGAGGAGTCTTCGGCATCGTAGGAGCTGTCTTCACTGTTGATCTGGTCGGACGAATCGGACTCCTAGACCTAGTTGGCCTCTGGTTGGGTTCTGACGTACCAGCTGACTTCCTCCTCCTCAATGGACTACGGGACCGTGGATTGCGATTTGCAAGCGTCGTCACGGCATCTGTCAACCTCTTGAGGGCTTGCAGAATCTCTTGGCTTCCGCTCGAAGTCTCTTCCGCTGGAATCTCTGGCTCTTCAACCTCAACCTCTTCTATCTCTTCTCCAACCTCTTGTTCGTCCAACTTGATGTCGTCTTCATGGCTGTCATCATCATCAAAATCCGGAACCGGCCTCACAGGCGAGGTCACGGCAGCGCTCGGCATTGGTTTGCTCTTTCGAGATGCCACGGCGTCACTCGCCTTCGGCGGTCGTGAAGATGAAGATGGCCTCGAAAGTACTGGAGGGCAGGCTTTTGGTGGAAGTGAGCGGGCTTTTGCACTAGTGCTGCGAATAGCCTCTTCTCGTGTCGGTGGTGGTGCTGTTGAACGCTCACCGGATCGCCACGGCACGTGGTCGTCCGCATCATCTCGAACAGCTCTTGGAGTGTGAACATTCTTTGTATGCGCTGGAGTCAATGTCACAGTTGTATCGCCATAAAGCGGCCCACAAAGAGTGCAACGTCCTCCACACGACATCTCACGCCATTCAGGCGAGTGAGAATGAATCACAACACACGTGAAGCCCTTCGAAGCAAGATGCCTGTGGATCAACATGCTTCCGCCCACAGAACGATGACGCCCTGACTTGCAGCGCACGTCCAAAACTCCCTTGTCATGGTGCTCCACAAAGTCGTCCACCTCACGAAAGATGCGGTCAAGACCTCTCTGATCCCTCCTAAGACCATTCAAAATGGCCGGATGCCTTCCCACGTGTCCACGCAACGAAGGATCTTGATCGGGATCCCACAGCGACTTGGCGTTGATGTACTTCACGGGGATATCACTGCCAACATGCTCTGACAACCTGTCTTCAAACCGGTCACCTCCTGTGACCAGCAAAAACTCACGGCTCTTCAAATTGCCAATGATGTTGCCAAGCGCACGATGGATACCTTCGGCAGTCTGGGCTTGGTACCCTCGCTCTGCCGTATCCAATCTCTCCATCGGAGTATTGAAGGCTGTGAGGGCGACACGAAATTTGCGATGACACTTTGGGATCTTTTGGGGCATGGTGGCTTCAAGACTTTGGACCAATTGTTGAGGGGTAATTGCCAACATCATCAAACCGGTGTGTATGCATCTGAACACTTTGAGGCGTTTTCCATTGATGCTAATGATACCATTCTTGAGGTCCTTTACTAGTCCCAAGTGTGCCTGAGCATGGAGAGACAAAAGCAGCGGAGATCGACCTTTCGACAGCTGGTGGGATTCAAGGACGCCATGCACTGGATCTCCCTCGTCGAAGTGCAACGAAAAGGGTAATGTGCGGGATCCTTCTGTAGTGGTCCCTTTTTCACCCAATCCGGCAAAGTTCTTCGATGTCGTGGTCGAAAAAGGGAAGTCGTATCCTAGCTTCTTCAACTTGGCCTCAACAACGTCTCCCCAGTGCTTCGAATGGCAGGTGGAATTACATCCCTCGTCGAGAACGACGTAGATGTTCCCGTCGTCTGGGCTGTACATGTCCCTGGCTTCGTGAAATATGTGCACCAAACCATCTGTCATCTGGGTAGGTTCCTCCCCATGAAAACAAATGCCGATCCCTGCAAATGGGTCTGGATCTTCGGTGTAATCAACCATGGTGAACGAGTCTCCTTTGCTCTCTTCGATGGACTGGTGGAGGAGCTCGTGCAGCTTGATCGAAGTCACTGCCTCGGTTTCGGCTGCCAACGCGACTTGGGCGGCAAATTCAGTCAAAATCTTCTCTAGCATCTCGGGGGTGTGTCCTTCTTCGGGTTCCTCTTCAACCAAACGTTCAATCATTGGGATCCTATCGAGCGGTGCGTTGACGACTTTCTCAGAGGCTGCCTTCCTAGTCTTTTGGAGCTCCATCGGAGTCTCATCCAAAAACGAACAACAAAGCTTGCAATACACACGGTGAACAGATCTGGAAGAACCTCGAAAATCGGTGTCCGAGTGCGGGCAATCGTCATATGCAAACTTCGGGGCTTGCTCTCTACGCTCGGTGGTGGAGTTCCCACAGACAAGGCATGTCTTCTTGATGGTGTATGCTGTGCTCCCTTGTTTGGTGAACTCGGAACAATTCCTGCATTTCTCTTTCGGTGGATATGGTGGTTTCTTCCTTGAGGACCCTTTTGGGATTGGCTGCAATGACGATGAAGAAGAAGCACCACCAACCTTCCTGAAAACTGAAGCTCCCCTATATTCAAAATGCTGATCAACCCACGTGACAAAAGCCGAAGCGATTGGACTCTTGCCATTCTTGATGGCCCATTGGTGGTAGTCAGGATGTTCATGAAGGATCTGCCAAAATGTCTTCCCCCTGAACTGTCCAGCTAAGAACTTCCTATCGCTCCCCTCAGGCCTTACGAGGTCGTTGGGACTCACTGGTGCCTCCGGACGAACTCCTGAGCTGGCCTTCACGGCCATGTGAGCAACGCTGTCGGTTGGAGACGCCGCACCTAGAAAAATCCCTTCGTCCTCGGATGAGTCACTCATGTGGGCAATGTGTGCAGCAGGTTTCGGGGCCGATCCAGTCTTCGGGGCATTGGGCATCTTACATTGGGGGTCTCCGGCCCAGTGACCTAAACCACCACAACGAAGACACTTGGATTTCGCCTTGATCTCTGACAGTTTCTGTCGACGTTGCTCGATGCTAAGGTGAGACTTCACTATCTTACCTTTGCCTTTACCTTTCCCCTTGAATTTATCCTTGCCTTTGCCTTTTGCCTTCCCGAAAGCGACGAATGCGGCAAGCTGCAATTGGATAGCATCACCTGAGGAACGTTCTTCGGCATCTTCGCAATCAACTACTGCATTCAAGGCAATTGCTTCATATTCATCAACATCATCATGATACTCAAAATCTTCGTATTCTGGATGGCTAGCATGTTCGTGTTCTTCAGACTCTTCAATCCCTCCTAGCATGCCTACGAAAGAATCTTCTTCATGATGATGCTCCTGCAAGTCCTCGTCTCTCCAATCGAAATTGTCTTCCCAATCGGGATAGATGGCATTGTAACCAGCACGAGTGTATTGGCTACCTTTACCTTTACCTTGGTACCCCTTCTGGTACCCCTTGCCTTTGCCTACCTGAGGCTGAATTCCCCGTCCTGTCCAGGATCGGGATCCTTCACGAAGATGGATTCCACTGTAGTTGTCAACCAGGACTCGTGCAGTACCTTCGAAGTCATCGTTCTTGCGGCAAGCCTTCACCACAAGGATCTCCTGCCTGGAGATACCTGACATCTCCAACAATAGCTCTGTGCGGAAAGCTTCTGAGATCATCATTGTGGGGTCAAGCTCAACCAACAAGGTCCACCAACGTCGTCGGCGTTGAGTGTACGACAACATGCTCTCTGTAGGCTGTCTCGACAGTGGTCCTCCATGCTTCTGTCCTGCGCGAAAAAGCTCCTTACTCTCCTCCAAGGCTCGAGGAAACACATGGTTACGTATCACCTCGATGAGACGCTCCAGTCCCCCTGGACGTGCAAGTGTCTCTAGACCTAAGTCTCTGGCAAGCAAAAAAGCATCACCTCTCAAACCTTCTACGATCTTGTTCACTAGGACACTGCGATCGATGATACTCGACTTGTCTGACTTAACGGACGAAGCCTTCGGTGATGTTGCATCAACCTTCGACTTGGGAGTACCGGCAGTCTCACGCGGCTCGGGCTCAAACTCCTCGGGATAGTGTCCAGGCGAAGGGAATGCGAATCCTTCGTCTGACTCTGGTGGCCAAGGCTCCCCTTCGTCGGCAGGTCCAGTCACGGGATCCTGCTTCTTTGCTGGTTGCGTTTGGGCTTGGTCGTACAGCTTGATGCGGAGTTCGGTTCGAAATTTCCAGTCATGAAATGATGCAGGATCTCCCCAATAGATGTAAGACCCACTCTTGGTTTCCAGGGGGTTGCCTATTCTATCACCAGTGCTACCCGAATGGAACTTGAGTCCAGCAATGGACATGTTCGACGATTCCGACGGAGATTGCTCGGGCGAGCAATCTATTCCGGGCTCTGTCCCCAACGGGATCAGAGGAGGCAAGCGAAAGCACGCAAGGAATGCAAGCTCAGGCTTGATGTTCTACGATTCCAATGACCTGGATCAGTACGTGCCGGAGTCAGGCCGTCACCTGCTCCGCTACCAATGTCGGTAGCAACCGGAATCGTACTGTCCACACGCTCTTTTCACTGCGAAAGCGAGCACGGTATAGCTCAAGGGCCCTAGGAGCCAAACGGCGGCAGACACAACATAGTGTGACAACCTGGCTCAACAGAATGAGATCCTACCTCAAATTCACAAAAGTAAAGAAGTAAAAATTGCCCAACAAACAGGACGAAACCACATCCAGGGGCTGGAGATGCCTCCATTGCCCCCAATGGATATTACAACAGACCATAGTTCTCAAATGACTGGTACATGAAGAGCGGGATGCTGGTGTCCTCACATTGGTGACCGGGACCTCACCCTCCGGGCGACCTGTCACACAGAAAGCGACCAGGCGATCATCAAAAGAAGCCACGGCCACCGATGTGACCTCAGTGGGAGACCGTCATTCCACTGAGTCAGAAACCATGGGATTGGGATTGATGGCTCTAGCTACTCTATATAGTTGACAAAACCCACCAACTTGGAAGCAGCCTGCCAAGGTAGAAATCCCAAGAATTCGATCCACCGAAGAAGAAATCCATAGAAATCCCCTAACCATACCCATTTGGCCTACAACTACCAAGCGAAGGTTCTGGACACGAAAGTTCTCCAGCAGACTGGCACGAGGGTGTGGGGTGACACGAGCGCAACAAGAAGCAGAGCTGGAGGGCTGGAGGGAGTGGGAGCACTGGCGGAGACCTGTATCTATGCCAACAAAAGCAAGCGCCGGCGGGAACGGCGTGACCGCAGCCACCCAGCTGCATGGGGAACCTGCACTGAACCCGGCACCATGTTGGCAAGGAAACAACAGAGTTCTTTCTTTCTTTCTTCCTTTCTTTCTACGCACAATTCGCGCACAGTGTTAGTCGACTCAGTGCCTAGCATGCGTCTTCATGGAAGCCCGGTCAGCTCTGCAAGAAAAATGGGAACACATAGAAAGGTGCAAAAAAGGATAAATTGTACTTGTAGGTACCCTTGGGGCTGAAAGAGTTTGACTGCTCTGGGCGGCCTGGGCTCTCTGACCAGTGCTCCAGCACACTGAAGGAGTAAATGCTCAACCTGCGGCACGTTTGATCCGGTCAGTTGTTTCACTGAGTTGCGATGTGAAATTCTACCCGAGTGGCTCAACAGGGAAACTCCAGGACGTCCGGCTTCATACTGTTGATCCATGTTAATCCAGTTTCATTACAGCAAAAGTGCGGCGGTGGCTCAAAGTGCTCTGCCCTTGGGAGTAACCTCGATGGAGTACCAAATTAAATAGAGTCACTAGATGCTCCAAGTAACCTGCAAAGTTTGCCTGGTAAAAAGATTTTACATGACCTCTGCCTAAGTAGAGAGGAGAGGGAAAAGCTGGTGCGGGGACAAAAGTGAAAACGACCAAGGCCTTCAAGTGCAATATCTAGACAAAAAAGAACATAAAGAAAAGGGTTCTAGAAGTTCTAGACAGTTTCGAGAACATGTTCAGATCGCGAATGATACTCTACGTTCGCTCCTCGCCATGTACATTCTGGCTCTGGGATCTACTTTTCATCCTGCGAGTTCAGCCTGGCCTTGGGCGAAGATTTACATTCGTCCAACTAAAAGGGTCTCCTAAAAGTGCTTCAAATTCGCTATCTACTGTATATCTATATAATGCTTTCGGATGCTTTCGGACGTTGGGAATCAACCAGAACCTCGACTGGGAAGGGTTCCACTTCCCGGCCTCGCCCAGCTCAATCCGCTGCCCACGAACCTTCACCTGGAAGATCGCCCCGGTGTTCATCTACTCCAGCTATCCAATGTGGAAAGGAACACTTGACCTGGTGTTCCACTGGGTCCCCCAAATGTTCAAACACATCAACCACGAGAAATTCATTGAAATTCCATAAAACAGCGCAAGGAGTATGCCTCTTTCAAAGGACCCCGACTCGTGTCAAATGCCTGACCAGTCTATGCTGCAGCTGAACCATCATGGAGATCCCCAATGTGTTCAGCTGAAAAAAAGTTCTGAGAGCTTCCACAGGGACCTCACCTGGTGATCCTTCCGACCGAGAAGCTGCATCTCAGCCTTGCTCTTGACACGAGTCCTCAGTGGAAAAAGAGTGAAAGGTGACAAGTGTTCATGATGACAGCACTACATGACATCTGTAAACAGCTTTCCTCAACATGCTCACTCTGCTTCCATCCACCTGCGTAATTCAAGGCCCCGCGTCTTCGTGTCCCAGGCTACTCCACCAGTTGTTATGCTGAGAGCCCCAACACTCGAGCAAGATCGCCACCTTGTATCCAACTTGGCATGATGAGAGATCTGATCCAACAACCGAAGGATGACTTTGAAACAGGATGCGGCTGAGAAGCCATGCTTAGCATGGCCCTTCAAGTGTTTCTTAGTCTTGTTCGGACTCCTGGTTAGCTGGCCGTTTGTGCTCTCCGTGGCTGAGGTACATTGAGGTACCAGTACCATGGCACAAAACAGCACTTGTCTGTGGTTGTCAACACTTCTTGGATCTCGCCTGGTCAACTGACTACTGGGCAAGCATATTCGGACAAAAGAGTCATGAATTATGTCGTTTCAGAAAAGAATTGGTTTGGCCTGGCACACGGGGCTTGATCATGGTGACTTTCAGCACGTCCTAGCATCGACCTGACCCAGTCGCGAACTGTTTCTTCAGACGTTAAGCTTGGTCCTGGTGGGCACACTTTGTATGCATTCAGCACAACCAGCACCGTAGTGTCGTCCACATTGGAACGAATATCCTGTCCTTGCTTGTGGCATCTGCCTTCGCTGATTGGCTCTGATATACACTTTCCTACACTTTCCACAATTGCTGGAGAAAAATGACTGTTAAGGTCGACCAAAGTCTGGAGTCTTGAACTAAACGTGAAGCTGGAGACAGAGTCAGAATCATAAGGGACCACGAAATGCAGGCCTCACAATTCTAGGCCAAATCAATTGAAGAGAAAGCTTTTGAAGGAATCGTCACAACCAAGGAATCTACGTCAATGGAGGATCTTTTCGCTGAGTTTGGCATTGATGGTTGGCTGAAGTCGCAGGCACTCAAAGTTTGCATCTTGGGTCTTGATCTGAGCATGAGTCGATCATCATGAAATGAACATTGCGCTAGCAATGAGTTGTCACAAACATGATCACATCATGTTCTCTGCAGATATACTTTAATTGACTATGAGATTTTTAGCGATCCTAATTTAACATTGACCCAAATTATGTCGTGCAGTTCACTGGTGCAGAAGTTCTGAATGCAGCGTCCAAAAAGAGGATCACGACTCTGCAAATTCAGTAGCGCTAAATCGTTCATTGGTGTCTCGACAATCTCAGCTACAAGAGTCTGAGGTAGCCTTTGCCTCAAAGCTCGTCTGAATCCAGGCAAGCTAAACAACTTATCAAGTGATCCGGAGAAGGCACTCTTCTTTGTATGCAATCTCCGCTCATTAATGAGCTGTCATGCACATATGCCTTATAATTAGTACCTCTGTCAGCGCCTTAGGCCAACCCTGTCAAAAACTTAACCAACAAGGAAGCAAAAACACAATGACATGCAATGACATATTCTTCCGGTTCTTGATCAAAAACCATCCAGGCCCAGGCCCAAGGCATGTACCGTACCCGGCCACAGATCCGTTTCGACTGGCACCGGCCCGGGGGGACCAACCTACGCTGGTCCGGCGATCGGGGCACCCACCACGACGGGTGCTACAGGAGCTGAGACTTGAATGACTTGACCCGGCAAGGCACCTGGTGGTACCTGGCAGTGGTCTGCATCAAAAGGCACTAGTGACTTTAAGTGGCGAAGAATATGTGATACGAGTACCTATTGAGGTGCTCAATGTCCACCTGTGACCCCTCGCTTTTCCGAGGGGGGGGCTGGGCGTGCTATTTCAGGGGCTGAGATCAAAAACGTTCCCCGTTCCAGTGTAAACAAACCAGCTCCACTCTCAATAATGCACCGCGAACGCCCAATCGGATCCAAAACACGCCCATTTATGTGAAGCTCATGCAACACGTTGTCTCTGCAGGTGATTCCCTTTGGTCCACCAGGGTTCCTTCTAGGCTATTCTTCGAAGCAACGAATCTCTTTTGGATTCCTTTGGTAAATGTTCTATTGTTCTAGTGCACAAAATGACCTTGGTTAAGTAATGCAAACCACAATTTGCCTTGCATATTTTGCATCACCATCACACCAAAAGTCGTCCGCGCCAAAAAATAGAAACACCAACAAGCTGGTGTGTATTTACCATACGGACACTTCGCTTGCAGAAACTAAACTCAGCCTAGCCTATCAGGCCTATCAGCTGGCGTTCGTAATTATTGCACAAAATAAAACGTTCAAGATCGGTCCCGCCTGAAGCTGAACAATCCCGCCCCCAGGGCCTGGCAATGCGACAACCTGATTTTTTGGAACGGCCTGCTTTTCTGCGCAAGGCTAAATAGGCTCGCCAGTTGTGGTATGGAAAGGTGCCTGGAAGTGCTTTGAACTGTGAAGTTGCGTCAATGAAACAGTCCTCTGAAAGGAATGGCTGGTGGTACTCGTGCTGGCCTTGCACTTGGAGCATCTGTCCTGGTTGAACTCCTTGGGGCAAAGTCCTCAGATGTCTCGAAATCACGCCGATTTCTTCATAACATCTTGGCATCAACTAAGACCAACACCCCTTGAATCAACATGGATCAACTTCTCGCAAGAACCTTTTGGGCCCCATGTTGATCTCCCCACAAGCGGAGTGAAGAGAAAACTGGCTCACATGATGAAGGTGTCGGCTTGTAGAGAGTACGAAAGGGTCGAAGTCTCTTCCACCCAGGTACAACTTGATGTCACTCAGTCTGAGATAAGTCTGACCATTCCAAAAGCAGTCCTGAAATGTGGCCCAGCAGTGCATACAACTACAACACAGGATATACTCTGAGGCGGATAAAACATCTTGAAACAAGTTCGTCCAACAACATAATTACCAGCCCTACAGCTTTGAGCTATTGCCCAAATATTGTCAGGAGGACAAGTGGGGCTTGCTGGCCTAATCCTGAGATCATCTATATAAATCTGGCCAAAGGATCTGGCAACATGTGTGGCTCAAAAATGTGGGATGCCAAAATATCGGCACATCAATCAAAGGATCAGTCAACACACTCGAATCCCTGATAGATGCTGTTCTTACCGATGACAAGGACTTTGTTCCGAGCAGAACCATACAATAGTCAATAGTCTTCCTGCAGTTGACAAACGAAGTGAGCATGTTGTCTGCACGATCTGTGGCCCTTGACAAAGGGATTGTCGCTTTTGGCTTGCAGGAGTTTGTGAAGTCGCAACTGTTCTGGTTCCGACAAATTCCGCACGCAGCTGATTTGACCCAAGCTTCACTTGCATGATTGTCGGATCGCCACCTACAATGTGGCCAGAGTGTCTTGAGACACGGCTATGCCGGCCCCTCTGACTGAATCTGTGTTGGGGAACTAGCATCAGTGAATCAAACAAGCCGTTGAGACAATTACTTGTATGATTTTGCAAGATCGCCACAAATTGGCGATCTACAATTACAACAGTTATCCATGTGGTAGCGACCACCAAATAAACACAAATAAACTTTGCAATTCGCAGTTTCGCCGTGTAAATGCTTGTACTGGGTGCTATTCGACCAAAGACCACCAGGAGTGAGAACCATTGGCTGGTCGGCGTGCGTAGGAGTGGTCTGCTGCCCAAGTTCTATCTGGTCTGAATGCAGTTGTTTCTTCTTATGCACAGTATGTCAACATTCCCCCGGACTTTATCTACTGTACATCTCTCTGCCTGTCTGCTAGGGTGCCCAGCTAAAATATCCAGTACACGCACAGTATATATGCCAGTATATAATATATATATTATAAATACATGTGCTCGCCCACCATTTGAGCAGATTTCAATTCACCGTAGGAATTTCTTAGGGAGCTAACTGCAAGCGATTCAATCGACCACGTCTTGCTTAACTTAATGAAAAATGATGTAACTTGCCAGTCAAAGGTTTGTGCTGAGAATGACATCCGGGTCAGCAATGTTCTTTGTCTCACGCAGTCTGTGCTGCGGAAGCTGGAGCTGGAGCAAAAAGCAATTTAGCTTCCAAGTAGCTTAGATATCCCTTCAGAAGAAGCAATTCCTCCCTCAAAAGAGCCTCATTCCATAGGCTGTCTTACAAGTGTGCATCTTCATAAACGTGTCCCCCTTTACAAAGGCGCTCACTTTACAAGGGCCGGTTCCTTCATCAAAATCTGTTAATCTAGGTTTTGATTATGCATAGCATCCATATCTGTATTTTCCCAAGCCGCCTTTATAGAAAAACAACCTCTATTCAGTATCTTTGCATCTGCAGTGATTGCAAGCCAAAAGTCTAGAATCACTGCACATGATCGAATCCCTCAGGTTTTGCCAAGTCCGTGGGTTTCAAGGATCTGATAAATCCGAGCATTTGCGGTGGTTTTGCACCCCATGCTTCCAATTACTGCATACTGTCACTTTCGGATTCCCAAATTTTTGAAGGCCTAGTGAAGCCCAATGACTTGATAAAATTGAACAAACACCTGAAGCATATCCAAACATTCTGTGCCTGTTTTTACTGAGTAAGCGTACGCTGTGATTGGACGCTTCTATAGGGTGCCAAAAATCTCTGCATATGCTCAAATTTCTCAAATAGTTCAGGCCCAAGTGAAGCCCCCAGCCTTGGACATAAATGAGGATATATGATTCTTCACTTTTGCTTTTGCTCAGATGTCTTGGCACTTTAAGGGAGTTGTTGAATTGGTTGCCTGTGTTCTCCTTTTGTTGAGCTTTTGACATTGCGTGCATGTGTATTGCAATGTCAGCCCTTCCGTTGCAAAATGCTTGAAACACTCTGTAAATACCATAATCTAAAAAACGGGTAGCTATATGGAAGAGTTACCACATATCATATATTTTACTATTTTTATACAAAGGCCATGGGTTATTAGAATAGTCAGAGCCCCCAAAACCCCTGGTAGAGAAAACAGAAACATCTCACCCATGTCTGTGTTTCTCCCGCGGCTCGCGCTCTTTATCCGCACCTCCAATGGCCATGATTGGAGCGGACCATTTCCCGGGCACTTGTGCGCCAGGACCGAAGACCTCGTGACGCGAAGTGACGAACATGTCGCGGGAGCGACGCCGTATGGATGGTTCTGACAAATGTGCCGCGGTTGTTGTGCTCCTTACAAAGAATCGCATGTCTAACAGTCAACTCATGGCTTGATGACCTGCTACACAAACAACTCCTTTCAATCTAGACGATCACTCTGTTTCAAAATGTTTGAAAGGATGGTGCAAAATCCTTGAGGGGAAAAATCTGAACATTAGTTAGGTCATGGTTCAAGGGTTTTACAATCATATGTTATTTTATATATGCAGTTCATATTTGTATATATATATATATGTTGTTGGGGTTTGCGGATGTTCGGCCTGAGCGACCTGACGCGCATTGTCACGGTGGCACGACCTTCAACCGCATGGCTCTTGCTTCGACGTGTGGACCACTCCCCATGAACCTTCTAAGACCACAAAGGCAGCAAACTTGGTGCCTTCTCCATGGTTGCCTGGTCTGGTGGATAGGCGACGTTCTCCTTCTTGGCCAGCTGATCAAGTTGAACAT